GTTGATACGAAGTCACATTACACTGAGAGATTAAAAGAGATGTAGATCACTAGTGTGAATAAATGTAAGTTCCGTTTATGCTTATGTTCTTGTATTGACAATGACATCTCAAAAGTTTTAAAATGAATAAAATACGTTTCTTTGAAAATGTTCTGATAACGTATTTATCGTATTTTTTTGGGAACAAATTCGGCAACATTTTTATGAAAAGAAGTACTCTGATTTTTATAAAGCATAAACAAAATCAGTCTTTTCTCGCCGTGAAAATTGGGGATGTCACAATGGCTGCTGGCTGATAGATCCCCAGACTGCCAACATAAAAAAAACACGCAATTAATAATTGGGTTCAAATGCATGACCATAACTCCATACTTGGGATAAAGAGACTATTTTACCCCTAACATAGATTGGTCCAAAACCAATGCCCAACCTCTAGAGGTCCAAAAGCCAAAAAGTAAATCAAGGCCCAATATATGGCCCAATTTCCAAATTGGGCGCAAACCCCTTACATGGGCCTTACCCTAAAGCCCATCTAAATATTCTAGTCCATATACTTGTTCATGGATGGTCCATCAAGTACTCGAACATATAAGCCCAACAGAAAAGCCCAACTCAAAACCCAACACAATTAGGGTTTCCTTAAAAAATGACGATTAGCGTTAAGTGTTCTTACTTAACCCATTAGGGACTTAATCTATTAAGGACTTAATCCATTAAGTCCATCACTCCACCAGACCGATCATATAATGTAATCGGGCATAAGTTGTAACTTCAATCCACTGGTCCAAAACGAGGGTCATGGCAAGTGAAAACTAAAATCTCCAACATTAGAGTTTTCCAAACCCTAATTAGGGTTTCCAACCCAATTACAAGCCAATTTGTCCAATCGTGAAGTTTTGACTCAAATTAGGGTTTCACTAGGCCGGGCACTACCAACTGCCACCTTGGGTGGTGGTGGTTGACAGCGGTAGCCTCCACCTCGCGATGGTGTTGGTTATGATTCTTGACCAAAATACATCAAAAGCATCTCAAATAACAATCCAATCACACGTAAGAGCACATAACCACCCAAGGTGGTGGCTGGTGTTGGCAGAATGGCTGCATAAGGTGGCAGCCACCACCTCGCGGTGGTGATAGTGGGTTTCCTTGGTTTTCCAACCAACAACAACACACACACATACAACTGAAACACAACACCACTGGAATATGCACCCAATCAACAACCTTGTGGCAGCAGACGGTGGTTGGAGATGACAACCACCACCTCATAATGGTGATGGTGGGTTTTCTTGATTCCGTGCCAAATAATGCACATACAACACCGTTAATTTCGAAAGCACCCCTTACATGCGAACACATATGCACTCAGCTACCTATAAGGCGGTAGAATGTCGCCGCAATGCAACAGAAATGGCGACCAACTGGTGGCGGTGGACAAAATAGAGATTATGACTCCATACAACCAAGAAGGAACGATAGAGATGAGTTAATAGATGCGGTTATGTAACAACCCATTATTCTTCTAGTCAATATATTCAAACCTTTATAAATAAAATTCGAGGTTTTGTTCATTTCTTTAAATTCATAAGGCTTAAATATGATTTAAATAATATTAATGATGTTTTTATATAAGTACTTGGAATAAAATACACTTAAAAATCAAAGTTTTTCCTTTTGGAACAGAGAACCCTTGGACTGAAAACCTTCCCCCACAGATTTCAGATCTCAGACAGCAAACGGATTACGGCCGAGAACCCTCATTTCGGCTGAAAACCCAACTGCTATATATATTTTTCCCTGAAAAAAAGACATTTTTTCACTTCCTCATTCAAAAACACTCCCATTTTCTCTCAAGTATCATCCAAGAACTTTCATACTATCAAGAGAAATCCTTCAAAATCTTCATAATTTTCACCAAGAACAATCTTCAAATCTTCAAGCTGGCCGAAAACTGCCTGGAGCGGGAACACTTTCCTAACCGAGAACACCTTAGAACCGAGAACTTGGTCCTCAGTTGAGGACTTAGGACCAAAATAAAGGATTTCAGTGGAGACTTGACCAAAACCCCTCCTCAACACTTCATACCATTTTCGATAATCCTTGAAAAAAATTCCTTACATAAATCAAGTGTTGTTTAACACTTTAATTTATTATTTCCACTAATTTAAATATGATTATGTGTTTAAATAGTTTTAAGATACCGTTCATTCCACGTACTCTAGCCCGATGATCATCTTATAGTTCCGGTATCCAGAGTCTAACACATACTAGAGGTGAGTTCATACCCCTACATTTTCACTATTTTCAATCCTTTTTTTAGGGGGGGGGGGGGTTGAATACAAGTAAAACACAAGGATTCTTATGTTGATATACAAACAATTTCGAAACCATTATGCAATTGATTCAAACCGATTTATCACTATATTTTATAAAAATATATGTTTATATATTTTTGACCTTTTTGTAACATGTCGAGCAAAAGGGTGCTTATCACGCATCGCTTACTACTACTTCATATACCAATTTAAATTGCAAAGGTTTTCATTACATTACAGAACATGCCATTTAAACTATAAGTGATATAGTTTGTGAACTACTTCCCTATTTTACTAAGTACCAGAACCGATACAAGAACATATATTCAAGCTATAATAGGTATTGTTTGGGAAACACTACTCTATTTTGCAAATTCAAGAACACTATTCAAAAACAAGTATATAAACTACAGTTGGTATAGTTTATGGAATACTACTCTAATACATTGATTCAAGGATACACTACTAAATAATTATTTAAGTATAATTATTTTACATTACTAAGTACACTATAAAAAGGTAATACATACAACTTCAAGTACAAGAGAACACTACTACACTACGCGTGAACTAGTAAATATAGGGTTGTGAGGCACTAATTCAATTGTACTCTCGGGGTACAAGTCTAGTTCCCATAAAGTATAGCCAGAGTCTCCTGGAGGGAGAGCGTGACCTTGTGTATAGATCTATACGAGATTGACAACTCTGCACCTAAATTGTTAGCTATAGTTAGGCCGACAGGCCTGGGGTGACAAACGTCATAACATTCCGATGCTAGAAGAACGTCGTGATGCCACTAGTCAGTTTAACATGGTTATATGAAACTCACAATAGTATCAACTGAAACATTGGTTTAGGGGATTAACAGTACTTCAATGGTTTTATTTTAATAAATGAAACTATAGTACACTACTATACATTACAGCTGGTGGTATCTAGGCATACATACAAAGGTTTTTATACAAACAATACACTACTATACATTACAACTGGTGGTATCCAGGCATACATACAAAGGTTTTCATAGAAACAGTGCACTACTATACATTATAGATGGTGGTATCCAAGCATACATATAAAGGTTTTCATATAAACAATATACTACTATACATTGCAGCTGGTGTTATCCAGACATACATACAAAGGTTTTCATATACACAGTACACTACTATACTTAACTACTGGTGGTATCCCAATTTTCATACAAAGGTTTCATAACAAACATTACTCCGATACACTATTTTCCTAGTATAGAGTATATTAGTACTACATACATTGTAGGTAAAGACACACATGATATAGTTTTATTCATTAATAAGACTACATATACTATTACAGAGTTCAGTAACGAACATACATTTTGGTCTTAAGGCCTAAGACTACCATTCATTTACTAAGAAAATATTGGATTTTTTGGAAGTACACTATAACATTTTCAAGGAACAAAGATAAGTTTTCCATCTCAAAAACATACTTATGAACTCACCAACTTAAATGTTGATACACTTTCAAAACCACTTGTATTCTCAGGGAACTGGTAGACAAGTACACCCACAGGTTTTGAGAAGACAAAGCTTATAGAATCGCGTCTTTTATACTTTTTATATACATTTTTTATGTCATACAAACTATGTATTGAACAAATGTAAATATATTTATTTATCAATGTAATGGTTGTGTTTGCTTGATTCCTATTATACAATTGTTGTGATACTGTACATGACGTCCTCTGCCCCCGGACTTTTCTACCATTTCGGTTTAGGGTGTGACAGGTTAGCCTTAACGAGGGCTTTCTAATCGCACACGGTGTGCTTCGCCGGTCACAACTTCATCTTCTTACTTGGTGGGGTTTGGTGGCGTTCGATGACAAGGTAGAATAGGGTAGGGTGGAATTCGTACTCGACATGGCAGTGGCATCTGAGAAGGATCCGAAGGTGGTGGCGGTTGAAGAAGTGTGGCTAGGGTTAGGGTTAACATGGATGAGTAGGGTGACAAGTTTTAACCCATATCAATTGAACTTCTTATTGTTTCGACACATCTGGACCCTCCCCCCTCAATTATTTTAAATCTAAGTCCTTATTTTACTTTTTAGCCCTTTCTTCCAAAAATCTATTCAATTTAAATCCAATAATTACCAAACAACCCTTAGCCTTTAGAATTATGTAGAACCTATTGAAGAAATCTGATAATGGGAAATTGAATTTATTGATGTAAAATCTAAATGTATCTTGAAACCCAGTAAGAGACTTATCTATGTTAGCAAATACCTTCACATCTTTTTTCTTTAGCTTCATCTCGTTAGTGTACTCCTTAATGAAATAATGAATGTATTCAATCATTATACGAGTGACTTCAAGCAAAACATCAACTTTGTTTTTAAATTTTCACAAAACTTATCACGATTTGCTACCTTTTGAGAGACAAATTATGAAACTCGGTAATCTTGAAATCGATTGATTGCTTTGAATAATTCACAAGCTTCTTAAATAGCTTATTTCACTCATGAGCAACACCATGTAACTTATCGATTTAATGATTAAAGGTTCGAGATTGAAAACATAACCGCTCATCAATTCACTTATCAACACAATCAATTAAAGCCTTAGTCCGTGACTCTTGAGTCTTTAAGAAGTATTCAACCTCCTACCCACTAAAACTAGACTTCCCAACGATTTCATTTAAGAATTAAACAATTGAAATTAATTTGGAGTTGAGAATCTTGAACTGTTTAGCAGACATTATGGCATTATCATCCACATTTTCTTCTTCCAGATTGAAACCCAATTCAACAAACCTAACCATTATGTCATCTTCTTCTTCATTAATTTGTGCCTTGGGTTCTTTTGATTGAGAAGAAAATAAGGAACTGATAGTTTCATTCATGACACCTTGAAACATAGGGGAAATAGCAGGAACTGATGTTGGAATGATTGTAGAAGTTGGTGGTGGTGGAGCAGATGAAGTATCGATTGTTGATGTTGAAATCCTTTCACCCATATTAAAATTTGAGTCCATATTAGATTCGTTCTCAGTGAATTTCAAAGTTATTCCCAAATTCACATGGGACTTAGAAATAGGAACTTGGAGTGGTATGGTTGTTGTGTGCTCAGGGATCGAAGTTACAATGGGTTCGCTAGAAGGAATGTTGGTATCCACATCAAATGTATTTATAGAGACATCAGGAATATGTGTCTAACTGGTATTTGATTTGACATTTGTATCCTTTCTAGGTGAAACATAAAAATGGTCAAATTCAACAGATCGTAACGAAGTAGAAGCTTGAGTAGAAGGATCTTCATCATGTAAAGCCCTAAGCCTCTTGAGTCTTTTCAAAACACCAACAACTTTGTGTTTCCAAATCTCTTGTACTTCCTTCTCAGTTATATCTTTAAGTAACCACCCCTTGCTGTTACACTTTTATCTTGATATTTTTAGGCTTCATAAGGACAATTTTTAGACTAGAAACCCCCTTAGCAACCTTCTCTACATCTTTATCTGAACTAACACCAATTGAATTCTCAGATACTTCTTCTGAAACCTTCTTGGAAACACCTTTCATAGTCTTCGCAGGAAAAATTTTCACTAAGACATCTTTCTCAAGAACCATTGGCTTCAACATTGATTTCTTCTTTATAGTTTGTCAATCTGTGGTTGTGCCCTCTTTAAAAGTTACCTTCTTAAGAATAGTACTTGAAGAGGTAGTTTGGATGGAAGATTTTACTTGATTAATAATGAATTTGTACATGAAACCAGATTGTGCATAACATCAAGGATTCACGCAAATTCCAGAAAAGTAAGAGGAACATCAACAATAGTCTTGGGAATGTGCATATGTGAGAATTATGCAACCTTTGCATCTTCAGGGATTAAAATCCTAGCTTGATTGGTTACTTCATGTAGGATAAGACTCAAAAAACAAGCACTGGATATCTGATTTGTCTTCTTATAGTTCTTAATAGATGATGAAAACTCAACCTAAAGCAACAAAGCATAATCCACTTGCATATTATAACATAAACATGTCATGACTTAATAAAACTGAACTGTGGCCTTGTTGAGATTGAAATTGCTACCAATCAAACACCTAAGTGCACTCCTAAAGAAGAAATTACAAACTCTTGGAATATTTGTCATCTTAAAACTACTCATAATCGTAATGGGAGGTCGATAACCTATCCTGTTGAATATTTGGAGAACTTGTTCATTCCTTGGAACATCAAACTCACCTTTAAACGATAGTTGTAGAATTTGGGCAAATTGCTTCTTCGTGAATTTCTTTTTCTTATACGATTCCATCTAGAATGTGATAATCTCATTTGATTTATTGTACAAGGTCGTAGAAGCATCAACTGAAAACCACCTAATCGGAATATGACATGAAACTAATAAAGCATGCGTGAGATATGAATCCTTCAGAGATTGAATCATCATCTTCAATTCTATAGGGTAATCGCAAGCACTGGGTTAAACTAAACGTTGTTCGATTGAATTTAATGGTTGGCATCGAGGTTTCCTCTTTAGTAGTGTTGAATTAATCAACAGATTTGTTAACAATAGACATGATGATCAAGATAATTTTGATTGTGATTGCAGAAGAAGGTTAGAGTTCTTGTCTAAATGTCAGGAAGTAGAAAGTTTTTAATTGAATAATCAACTCAACCTTTACAACTATCGTCAAATTCAATGTCAAATGAGGGGTTAATCATCAGTTGACATATGTAAAGTATGTAACTGAAATGCCATCAACCCCTGTTTTCATGTGTAAAGTAATGAGAACTTTTTTCAGGCCACAATAAAGCAACAGTTACGTCCTATAGTCAGTCACCATAGAACTGCACAATCATCCAGTTTCATTAGAGACTAGGACCAATCTTCGTAAGTTAAGGTTGGGCCTCATTCACTTATGGGAATTGTAAGTCCAAATCATAAGCCAAACTTTATGAAATCTAGGTCGGAGTTGGTAATACTCATAACATCAAGGATTTCAGAGCACATGTGATCTAAAAGAAACGATAGAAGAAAAATAAGAAAATTTTAGATATTGTGATACCAAAGAATCTTTGATATAAAGGCAGTAAGATTCCAGGCAAATATACTCTTCCTTTGTCATCAAGAGAGACGTCGAAGTGCGTGTGTGGTTTCCCATGAATTACTATCGAGTACTTATAGAGCAATATCAAATGGCTTCCTTTAACAAGCTTTGTAGGTGGCTTCGTTTTAAAACAAAATCGCAACTTAAATAAGAGAAAATTTATGTAAGAAAATACTTGTGTGATCAGGGAAATAAAAAAATAAGTAGCCTTGGAAAAATATAAGTGACATCAGCTCAAAGTGAATGTTCAAACTGAAATCTCATTTCATAGAAAATAAAAAAAGGTTGATATATTGGGAAGAAATGACTTCGGTTTAGTATATTTCTTTAAGATCAGTCAAAAGAAATAAAAATGATATTTTGAACATTCAAAAGTGGTACAGTGAAACATAAAGTTTCATAAAAATCTTGAACAAAAAAATTTTCACCTTCAACTCGTAAGGTGCAAAGTTTGTTGGGTTTCACCATTATCTTGGAAAAATAACTTACGATCATAAAAACAGAATTTTGGCATACCTACTTCATAGTTGGTATATAGTAGAAATGTCTTGGGATAGGCGTTTTATGTGTGCAAGTTTAAGAAATTTAGGGTGAAAACTATTGGTTAAGAAGATCTAATGTACCTCAGCAAAAAATTGTGACCAAGCAGTGAGTCATTGAGGGTTTGGTCAACATGCTGCATCATGCTTCTAGGGACTCTTCGCTTTGGCATGCTTAAAAGCAGCATGTGTAACAATGGACTTCCCATTCGATATTTCCAAAACAAAAATAAAGAAAATAATTTTGTACTTTTTGAAATTTTGAAAGAAAAGACAAAAATAAAGAAAATAGTTTTGTGTTTTTCATTTTTAGAAATAAAGAACAAAAATCAGGAAAATCTTTTTGGATCTTTGATTTTTAGAAATGAAAAACAAGGCTAAAGAAAATCTTTTTGGGGCATTAATTGTGAAAAACAAAAGACAAAAACAAAGAAAATCTTTTGGATTTTTAATTTTAAAAACCAAAAGTCAGAAATAAAGAAACTCTTTTTGGATTTTTTTAATTTTAACAATTAAAAGACAAAAATAAAAAAAAATTAGTTTTTTTGAATGTTGTGAAATTAAAAGAAAAAATGTTACCTTAATTTGTCATTTGCTATTGATAACGAATAGTTTACCAAGAAGACCGACACTTCCCATTCTCTATTTCATCATTCTAGACTTCCAATTTGTTATTACTCAAGCTTTCTCTTCTCATTCGTTATTTGGAAACAGTCACTGAACGAGTTAGAATGAATTTCGAAATGGAAGCATATCGAAGCGTTGAACGTGAATATTAACCTCAGAATGACTAGGTCCATAACAAATTTTAGTCTAAAACTTCGCAATTCAAAGTTAAGAAGAATTAGTTAGATATTGGAACATAACAAGCTTCCATCATTTCTAAAACATTTAAAATTCTCAAAAAAAAATTGATGATGTTGCTTTGTAAAAATATTAGCTAGTTGGTCTGTCGTTTTAATAAAATGAACATCGATATTGTCATCCTCAACATGATATTTGATGAAATGGTATCTAAGTGGAATATGTATTGTTTTTGAATGTTAAACTGGATTATGAAGAATACGAATTGCGCTTTAAGAATCACAAAACAAAGATTTTTCTTCGTATTTATCGCATAGTCATACAATTGGATTTGAATCCATATCACTTGAAAAGTACAAACGACAACAACAAAATATTCAGCCTCCAATGTAGATACCGATACACACATATGCTTTTTTGACTACTAACTCACAAGCTTCCCAACCAGGAATCAACATCCTCTAGTTGCACTCTTTCGATCTATTTGGCAACCCCATAGATCATCAGCCAAAAATGCTTGAATGAAGAATCATGTGTTTGCTGGATACCACAATTCTAGAGTTGGAGTTCGATGCAAATATCGAAAACTATTCTTAAGTTTTGTGAGATGTGGTTCTCTGGGATTTTTTTGGTACCTATCATAGTTACAAAACTAAGACATAATAGTAGTTTAACTTGCAGTTAAATATAATAACGAACTGATCATGCTTCGATAATTCTTTAGATCAATATAGGCTTATCCAACGACGGACTTAAGCGAGTGCCAACTACCATGGGAACCTTTGCATTTGAGAAAACAATCATCTAAAAACATTCAAGAAAATTCTTTGTGTAAATATCTTGATTAAAGAAAATTCATTCTTTGTTTTGACGAATATTCAAACCTAGAAAATGATGAATTTTCCCCATCATACTCATGTCAAACTGAATTTTCATCAAATCCTCAAATTCCGTAGACAAAAAAGGATCAATAGAACCAAAAATAATGTCATCGACATAAATTTGATCAAACATTAAGTGATCCCCAACTTTTTACAAAATTGTGGATCAACTGATCCTTGCTTAAATTTAGCAATTTTCAAAAAATTGGTTCATGTGGCATAACAAGCATGAGGTGCTTGTTTTAACCCATACACTGCTTTGCCAAGGATATAACAATGATTAGGAAACTTATTGTTTATGAATCCATGTGGTTGCTCAACATAAACTGTTTCTTTAAGTACACCATTTAGAAATTTGAACTTTACATCCATTTGGTAGACATCAAAATTCTTGTGAGATGCATAAGAAAGAAAAATATGTTAAGCTTCGAGTCTGGAAATAGGAGCAAAGGTTTCTTCGTAATCAATTCCTTTTTGTTTTGAATAACCGTTAATGACTAGTCTTGCTTTATTACAAACGACATTACCTTCTTTATCCATTTTGTTCTTAAAAAAAACCCATTTTAAACCAACAATCGAAACATTTTCAGGTTTAGGAATTAATCTCCAAAATTTATTTCTTTCAAATTTAGCCAGCTCAGATTGCACTACAATAGCCCAATAAGGATATTCTAATGTAGT